CCGACCAAGGCACAGAAGTGGCTAATGCATTCGGGCGAGTGCTCTTCCTGTCTCTGGAGCTTTTCTGGCTCCTGTGGACTGGAAGAATTTTGAAAAGACGCCCGCTCCCGTTCTGCACCCCCTGAACAGCGGCCAAGAGCCCCATCCTCGAGCACGTGCTGTTCTTGCATGGTCGCGTGTGAATCAGCCTCGGCGTCTGGCTGCGCAGCCAGATGCAGCGCAAGCTTCCGTAGCATATCTTGATGAAATTCTTGCCTCGGGTTCGAACCGGCACTGTCTCTCCACACTGGCACTTGTAAGAAAATAACCTTGTGAAAGATCTGCAAGTTCCGCGCCAAGCAGCTCATCGGGTGCCAGGGAGTTTTTGCCTTCGTGGCGCTTCGAGGACTCCATGCCCTTTATGCCCTTTCCCTTCGAAGGGCTCATTTGGCTTTGGCAAGGCTTCAACGTAATATCGGCGATGGGGGCCACAGTGTCCTGCCACGGGACCATGTCCACGAGCCCGTAAGCAATGTAGCTAGGAATCCAGACGTAGTTGGAGGCCAGCCAGGAATGCCAGGCATCGTTCTGATTCTGTAACTTTCCATCAGAGCCTGTCTGTGACCACACAGGGCCCAGAGGCTCCGTGGCGATGAACATGTACGCGTTGTTGGACATGGCGCAAGTCTGCGTGCGAGCCTGGCACGCCCCCTGTGTCCAGCTTCTGACCTGAAAACTGTGAAGTCAGACTCGGAGAGCTCACGGCCAAGAAGGGCCCTGGCTCCTCAGGAAATCTCAGAAAGTGATCAAAGACAAAGGGTCAAAGAGCAGCAGAGCAGCAGTCCTCCCACGTGTGCTGAACACAGGTTCTGGAAGCGATTTTCGAGCCCAAAGACGCGGCAGGTACCAAAGAAACTGGAAACCAAAGATTGGCTCTGAAGACGTGCTGCCGTATCGACCGTGCGGCCCAACATCAGACATGCTGAAACGCAGAAACGCTGGGAAATGCTTGCCTCTCATGCCAATGCTCCACTTCAGAGCGTGCGACATAGAGCCTCAGGGGTCAAGACAAACAGCTGCACTCTCCGTTTTCGTCAGCTCCGTAACATTGACACGGCCCCGAGAGCCAGGCGGAATCTTCGCAGCGACCGCCTCAAAGAACTGGGTGTCCAGGCCAGCCGGTGAGGACTGCCCACATCCGAGAAAAGCCACCAAGCACAGAGACTACGCCTTCGCTGAACCCGTGTCTAGCTGCAGATGCTGCAGGTGTGTGCCTAAAGTATCCTACAGTCGTGTTCTGGAAGGTTTCCGCTGCATCTTCGTCCGTCTATGACCGCCGGCCTGCCTACCCCTGCTAACAGTTGACAGCATCCGTCTACCCGGTAGGGCTGGAGACGAAGGCTGCAAAGCGTTCTGGAACCCCCGCCCGCCCAGGTCCTTCAAACTGTCGTTGATCTCCACCTCTTAGTGCAGGCAAGCGATTGAACAGGCGATGGTCGTGGCACAAGCAAGACACTCACCTGCCACTGGGCCCTCTGCTAGCATGTCGCCCAACTCACGCTTGGATTTGGCACAAAGGAGATCATGGATCTCGTTGACGACGCCTGGACTGGGGCCACTATCAGAATCTCCAGGTGGCCCCCTGCCCCAAATTTTCGGGTGATCTGCTTTCGTGAGGCTTGTCTTCGCGGAGACGTCCCACACTCACATGGGAAAAAGTATGGAAAAGGCATTTCAATACATCTCCATACGCCGACATAACATATAGGCAAATAGGTTGATAGAAGTATACTGAGATTTTGTATTATATGCATAGAAGGCAGCGAGCATCGAGACTCCTCCATTCAGGTAGCCCTGGCCCCCGTTGGCCTTCGGCAACTCCCGGGCCGAGGCCGCTGATGGCGGAGCCGGCCTTTGAGCGACCCGCCTGATCGATGGACCAAGAGCCCTAAGTGACTTAGGGCCTTTAGGGGTTTACGCTCTCGCAACTCGGACACAGCCAGACGAGCTTCTTGGTGCGCGGTTGGAATACTGTGACGGATTCTAGGGGTTTATAGGGTTTACGCTTTCGGCGCTCACACTCGAGGGTTTCGGGATTAGGTTGGGGTTTCAGGTGTCAGGGTTTCGCCACTCTCGCACACAGGCAAGGCTCCGGACAAGTCCCATCCTCAAGCTACTCACACAATGACGGCACCGCTCACTCAATCCCTCCAGGGTTTAGGGCTTAGAGTTGTTTTTAAGGGTTTCAGGGAGCACCATAACACCGACAAAAAGGCAGCCCTAATTGAGAGCTTCAGCTAGCAGCCACCAATCTGGCTCAGAATGTCGGGCCCCCGCCAAGACCCGACCGCGCTCTGCATCTGCAGCTCGCGCTCCTTACGATCTCTGCCCGAGCCTTCTCGCGCCGCTTGCTTTCGTAGGCGTCGGTCGCTACATATCTCATGGCCTGGGAGCCAGAATCCGCGGAGTTGCCGTGTGTCATAAACCTGACCCCGGGCCTGCCAGAACTCCTTGCGCTGTGCATCGATCCTGACGAAGGTCGCTATTTCATCCAGGATCTCCTCCACCTGGCAGCTGTGGCTGCACTAATACTTCAGCACTTGCAACTGCTGAAAAGGCGCCGCACTTTCGCATCAAGATGTGAACGTCACCATGCGTAAGGCAATTATGACCGAGACACAGAGAATAACGTATCAAAACGACTGCCTCGTCAACGTTCATGTTCACGAAGAGTTGATGTGGAGGTTTATCAAGGATTGTCATATCCTGCCAGTCGCTGACAGGGCTTTTGCTGGGAGCTGCAGAATCAACGGCGCATCGACCCCGACCCGACGAGTGGCCTCGAACTTCTCATCCTCGGCAATGGAAAGTGCCTTTGCCACGAGGTCCAGAGGCCTTCACAACTTCGAAGGCTGACGCTTCTCATGACTCTTCAGGACTTGTAGAAAAGCAGCATTTCCTCATCAGCAGCGGAGCAACTTGGGGAAAGTAGCAGCTTAGCAGCCCCCAGGCTCCGCCTTTCGCGTCCTTGGTCTATTCGCAGCTTTGTTCGCGCCTGCCCGCTTGGCAAGGCAGAGGTGGTACGGAGCACTGCAGTGAAATCGTCTCCACGCAGAAAGAGTCAGCGTCATCAGAACATATCACTCAAGCTGAGCTCCCTGAACCCGAAACCCGACCTTGGCATTGTCCAAGTGAAACTTCTCCTCCTTGGTCAGCCATTCGCCAAACTCTTCGTCGTGGAGCTCCTGAGAAACCGATTGGATGCAGTCTTGCCATCAAGACAGCAGAGTCCGGTTGTTACTACCGCGTTACTGTCTCGCTCCTGCAGAAGCCTGGGTCACCTGATTCCGACTATAGAGGCGTTGACCGTGCTCGTCCGCGTGATATTGTGAACTATGACGCTCCGGCTCTTCCTGCACTTCTACTGCTCTTGCCCACCCTGACCCGTGCCTTGCCATGGACAGTTTTCACTGATTCACATCTCAAACCACACGGGATTCTTTCAACTGTTCTCGTACGGATTGCCCTATGCCTGTGCAATATCTGCCGTTGAACCATCTGAGGCTCCCCCAACTTGTACAGGTGTGGCGAGGCGAAGCTCAGGAGCACGTGAGAACTCGGGGCGGATAATTGTAGAAGTATGAGTGGTTGTGACTAATTGTGCTTGCAATGAGGACAAGTGCAAGATCGACGGCGACGGCAAGAACGACACAATCTATCTTGTCCACGTCATAGCCATACTCATCACCACCACCATCGCCACCATCATCTCCATCACTGCCGTCAGCGTCACAACAACGCCTTGTCGTGCTCCAGCCGCTGTTGCTCCAAAAGCTGCCTCTCAACTTCACGTTCATCGCGGCGCTTTTTCACCTGGCTGTCTGGCAAGGCAGCATGCAGGCAGCATGGGCTCGGCTGTGATTCTGCCTGCTGAATCTCGCGAATCTTCGCATGCATCTTCTGCATCTGCTGCTCTTTCGTTGAGGGCCTGTACAAGCCTCGCATCGAGAACATTTAGCTGCTCGAACCTTGCTCCAACTCTTCAAGCGAGACTTCTGCGCAAGATGTGGAGTCCCACGTTGTTGCGATCTTCTAGGGCCACGGCCAGCTGCCTGAAGATACTCGTTCTTCTTCTTCCAGGTGAACTTCTCCGTCAGCGTTGAATCGCCAAACCTTGTGCCCCGGCAAGTTTGCGACACAGCTTACATAGAAGATGCTTGATATGCTTCTCCGGGTGCTGATAAGAATCTAGGGGGAGGCCTGCAACAGACACTGCGTATCCAAGCAATGCTGCACTGCGCGTGAGCTCTCGACGGATTGCTTTCATCCTGATATCCGAGCTCCTTCAACACCGGGTGCTACTGGAAGCCGATCAGCACATTGGTTTCGATGTCTGCGCTGCTGACGATGCAGTGAGCAACATCCAGCGTCCTTCTGGAACAGCTCTTTTCGCTTCTTTTTGACCTCCGACGCAAGATTCGTGGGCAAAACAAGCTGAATGTCAAGCGCAACGGAAACTTGAAAGGAGCATCTCTCAGGCAGACACGTTGGCGGCTCCGGCTGCCATCCTGGAGGCGACCTTGAACTCGTGGCTGGTGTGGACAGTTCAGGATCTCATGTTCGCATCAAGGGCCAAACTGGACTGCGGCTGCGATCGAAGGACATCCTGTTTTCCGGGAATCTCGCATCAGTTCAGACCGGGATACAGACTACACCTCGGAACCGTGCCTTGCGAAGCGCTGCCCTTCGGGGCGCCAAGGGTCCTAACACTCGGCCTGGTGCCCCTGACGGCTTCCACTACTCCTCATCTGGAGACATGCTGCGGGGAGATCAAGGAAAACAGTCGCACAAAAGTATACGCAGAAGTTGTATAGACATTATCATTATTGAACCGCTTTTGAGCTCTGGTTCCTGGACCTGGGTGCCTCAGCCCCACCTACCTTCACATGTCGTGCATTAGCAAGCAGAGGCAACTTCCAAGTCTCCCGGCAAGCCTGTCATAAATCCTCTCGGGCTCATGCAGAGTAGGCGAGCGAACAAGGCTTTGCTCATGTTGGTTGCGGCCTCGACGCAGGGATGCTCTTGGCTGCTAATTGCGATCTGGACGGCTGCAAGATGCTGCAACACCCGTGCTATCTCTCTGCTGACAGACCCAACACTGGAAGCTCAGCATCACTCGCATTCCGGCGGAAGCCGGCTAAAGTAGTTGACCATGCGCCTTGCGATCGTAACTGCACTGGCTCCGACTGCTGACGGTTCAAACGCCGCTGGGCAATCTGGGAATTCCGAGGCTCAAGGCGGGTGCAGGAAGATGTCGATATAGTCGAAGCGCACGCGATGCCTCGCTTACTAATTGCTACGATCTGCTATGCAGCACGCAGCAAGTCTTACACCAATCTGGACAGGCTGGCACAGCCCAGGCACGCGGCATGGCGTGCGGTGCTTCCGATTTCATCTCGTTCACGATGCGTCGCCTTATCCGATGCAACTTTGCGATGTCCTTGGCGTAAGCCGCAAGCTTCCAAAGAGACTCGGGGCAGCTCCAGTCTCGGATCCTTAAACCAGCAAGGACGTTCACAAGATGATCCAATGCAAAGCACAGTCCTGAGGTTCCCACCCTGCTTGATCCCCGAACACGAAGATCCTCAAGGGCCTTCCACATCAACTGATCGGAAGCAATGCAGAAATAGTTAAATCTTGTAATTACGCTCTCACATTTCGGATGAAGTTCTCGTTTTCGGATTTTCGGAGTGACACCCGCGACTTTCGTGCGCAATCAAGCTGAGTACTACCCAGTGTGGCTACCCGTCACCCGTCCCCCAGAAGGCTCTTTCGATTCGAATCTGTTGGACTCCACAAGCACGCAAAAGGGTGCGCAACTGTCCGCCCTAAAGCAGACTTTCAGGGCCGCTGCAAAGCATGCCCGAGGGTGGCACGTTGTACGGTGCTTCAGGATGCTCCAGAATGTGACGACCTCTGCGGCTCGAAGAAGGGAGCATGCACCAACAGTTCACACGGCACAGTCTGCTAAGTTGTCGGCACCAACAGAGGCCCACTTCCCAACAACATTCACCTCGGAGACAGCCGTGATATGGGCGGAAATAAGAAGAGCTTCATGATACCCATAAGCCCCTGCGAATCCCAAGGATAGACCCCACTCGCCACTAGTGCCGTATAGCCTCGATTGATTTCCTTAAGCCCTTAAGCCACCCAGCTCCACTCGGCAGTTCGATCCGAGGCCAAGGCAACCAGGACAACCTGTCGGAGTGGCAAAGCCCGAAGTTAGTTGGTAATGTAGGGGCCTTAATTTTTGCAATAGGGTCTTGGCCCATGATACTAGCATTATAATAAGGAACCCTCCAAAATAGTATAGGTAATTATTTCGGCCCATATATTATGCAGATCGGCATCCTGGTGTCTGGACTTTGTGTATGGGCCACTCGTCAAAACTGCGACCGAAAACCAACTTCTCGCACAAGGCCAACTTCGCTCATTCTGCCGACCATCACAGAGTCGTCTCGAAGCCGTACGCTTGGCGTACAAATCAAGGTCAAGAGACTGACTGGAGCCTAGTCTTCTCGCCACTGGCATGGACACCGAGCATCTGCCCGAGACCGTGCCTGTATTCGTAATGGCCCTACGCCTACGCCCTACCGGTTCAGGCTGCTATCGGTTCAGGCTGCAAATGGACAGCCTCGGGGCTCCCTTGCTCAGTGCTGGAATAGCAAGACGACAAAACAGCCAGACTTCGAGTGCTTAACGGCTGCCACCTCAACTGCAGTTGTCAGGAAGCCGCTGGTGTTGCGAAACGAAAAGACGACTGTCTGCGCCGCATGCATTACCCTCGGAGGGCGAACCTCGAGTGAGTTGTCGAGGGCCGGCCACACCTGCTGCGCAGCTCCGTGTAGCTGTCAGTACTCTTGCAAGCTTTCCAGCTACTTCTCTACCTTTCCATGAGACGGTGGCGCGAGAACTCTGTGGACAAAAAGCAGCCAATCAATCAGAGAACGACCCTGCGGAGGTCCCCTGTGGCCTCGGGGAATACTGAGCTGGCCGCGATCTTGTCGTACAAAAGCCTTCCCCAAATCTTCACGACTACATCATCGTGTGAAAACCCCCACTCCGCCCGAACATTCGGCCCTCCCCGACATCCTGAAAGCTAAACACAAGTTGTCTTCAAGCCACGAACCCTGGTACTTGTCGACCCAAGGAAAGGCACCGAAGTGCCGTGTATGTTCGGTTGAGCCTGTCAGAGGCATCCTGGATGGCCTCGTACAGCTGCATCCTTGGCACGGCACGTTCCAGGACACATGTCAGTGATGGTGATTAAGCTTCCAAACACGATTTTGACGTGGGCCACTACTACTGAAGTGACCGTGCAAACAACAACTCCAGCAAGCAACACAAGAGCTATCTTTCGTGAGTGACTGAAGAGACCTGCAAAACCTATGTTGGTTTATGTGCCTCCTGCATATAAAAGAACAAGTCCGTGCCAGCAAAAACTCACTCAGGCGTTCTGAACCAAGGGCAGTTCGTGGGTGCGAAGAGCGGACGCACACTTTTGATGTCTGTCTCGACAGCCTCAGTGGGTGGACTGCAGCCCAAAGCAGACGGATTGGAAGATGCAAACGCGGCGGGACAAGCAGTATGAAGCAGTGCCAAGCTGAGCCAGGTGCCGACCGACCGGTGGCCTGGCGGAACTTTGGGTCGAAGCGATCGAGTGCAAGGGGATGGCAGAGATTGGCGAAGTCGTTTCGACTGTAGAAAGGGCATGAAGGGGCCTTATCAATGAACAGGTTGAGTCAAGCTGCCCATCACCAAGCTTTTCAAGACAGAATTCTGAAAACCGCCAGGGTGTCCCAACACTACGATCAACCAAACACTTACAAATCAACCTTGCACCCTCCCCATCTCCCAGTTCGTTCCACATCAACTGCAGCCTGCCTGGGCGTGGTGGTACCACAGAGCTTGAAAGAAGTTCTCACAGAAGTGGGCGGCGTGATTTAGGTCCTGAACACAGGTGTATGAAGTTTGCCTGCTTTGATTGTACATCCAGTCCCGGCGACTCCCATCACAGATCCTTCATGATCTCCAAGCGTTTCTTCATGAAGCCTGCCGCAGTGGCACTGTTTATACATAGGAGTAGAAGACGAAGTACGAGATCTACGACACATCTACTGTATCTATCCGTGGATCTGTTAGACGATTAGACTAGTAACTGGTCCGTAGTACTCCCGTAGCCGGGTTCGGGCCGAGCCACCTTTACTACTAGCACTACCACCACTACTACCACCACTACCACTACCACTACCACCACCGCTACGACTACGACTACGACGACGTTCAAAAGCATTGCTTCAGTACCAGGAATGAGCTACAGAGTATTGGTCTGCCTGAGCGTACATGTAGCAGCAATCCCCGTCAATCCAATTTTACATCAGAAGCGACTAAGTTGGGGGCACAAGCACTCACGGACTTAGGGTCATAGTTGTAATGCGCCACTGCTTTCTCCTACTGCCACTACTCCCAGTACCCCCACTACTCCTACTACTCCTACCACTCCTACTACTTCTACGACTCCTACTCCTCCTACCAGTACTCCTACGGCTCATACTACTCCTACTACTCCTACTACTCCTGCCGCTCCTGCCGCTCCTGCCACTCCTACTATCCCTACTCCTATGTACTCTTACTCCTACCCTCCTCCTACTCCTCAACTCCTACTCCTGCTCCCGCTCCGGCTTCTGCTCCTACTCCTTTTTTCCAGCACGGGCTTTGGGTGGATGCCGTCAAGCTGGACTCTCAAGGTCTTCATGAGACACCGGCAAACTTGAAACTCCTCCTACTCCTACTCCGCGCCTGCACATGCAAATCCACATCCACCTGAATGGACCAACATAAGCACACATACACACACACATACATACATACATACATACATGCATCCATCCATCCGTCCATCCATCCATCCGTCCGTACATCCATCCATACATCCATCCGTACATCCATCCGCACATCCATCCGTACATCCATCCATCCATCCATACAGGCATACATAGGTAGGAACATACATACACCCACATACAGGCATACATGCACACACGCATACAGACATACAGGCAGGCAGGGCAGTGACCATGACAATGTCAATGGCAGCGGCAGCAGCAGTGGGATTGGTTGGCATTGGCATGTCATGGACACAAACACACGGAGACGACAGGCAGGCAGGCAGGCAGGCAGGCAGGCAGACAGACAGACAGACAGACGAATAAATGGCAAACAAACGAACAAACATACGACCAAACAAACAGACAAACAAGACGCATCTTGCGCCGACTGAAAAAAAACATGTTTGCAGTAAGATACAAAGATACCATAAGCCACCTCGAACGCCCAGGTGATGATTCACATCGTGCATGGTGAGACTGTTGTAGTGGGAGATGGCCAGCTTGCCTCGGACTTGGCTGTTTTTCCCTCCTGCTTAGCAAGGACGAGGAGGCATCCAGGGGGTTACTTCGAGGTGCCAGTTCACTACAGCTTCCCTTCTCGAAGCCAATTACAACTCCCGGCTTGCAGGCAACTTGCGAAGCTCAGCTCGAGCCCGTCATCAACAGTCGAGTTCAGGGGTTTGGGCGCTCACACTCGGACAATCCAGGCGAGGCAAATATGGTTCGGAGTCTGACAAGTGAATTTTGACACTCACACTCGGACAAGCCTGGCGAGGTCTGCAGCGATGCAAGGTCCAACAACACACAAGCTGTAATGGCTTATCAGGTAGGTATAACCCAGCAAGTCGGGCTGTCAATCATGCTAAGGATTCCACGCCACCAACAAAACACTATGACTGGGTTTAGGGTTTTTTCCTCCTGCCTAGCAAGGACAAACAAAGCCCGCAGGTTTCGGGTTTAGGACCCTTTTCAGCATGGGCTTGGATTGTGTGCCAGCGAACACTCCTCAACAGCAGGGTCCTAAACCCTTTTTTACACCTGGACTTAGGACCCTAAACCCTAAACCCCTTTTGCAGCGGGCTTGCTTCGGTAGGGACTAAGGGTTATATAGCGCTCTGAAGCCCTGCACATTGGATCCGCACAGCTGAGAATTGCATTCATCTGCTGTGCAAGCTGCAAAAAACAACCTGAGAGCCAGGACCTTCCACTTGGGCAGCCAGCTCCCACGCAGTGGTGTCAAGGCTGTTTACCTTAGGGTGCTGTGGCTCGGCCTGCTCACCGGCAGAAGCAAGCAGGTATGTTCGAGCCACAACTACAAGACATTTAGCATAAACCCGGATTCTGGCACATCCTGTGCCCAAGGCACCGGCAAATATCAGGTACGCCTTCATAATGGTCTGCATCTGCCGAACCGGATCTATTGATGCTCACTCTCGGACTCTCGGACCATGCCAGGCAGGATCTGAAAACGATCCAAACCGAACTGCGAAGCTTCATCTGCTCTGATTCCACCTCCCGGAGCTCCTCGGTGTCCTCTGCCACTCTCACGACCTTCCATACACAAACATAGGCGTATATCTTCATGTGTATATATTTTTTGGCTCCCGCATGGCGAGTCTCGCGACTGCATGGCAGGTAACACGTGAGCTAAGGCCCGAACAGACTGCTCGTTTACACGAGAAACAGTTAGTCCGTTCGAAAAATCTCCCAATCGCCAATAGTGCGCAATACAACACAAAACATGAAATTATCAGGATACTAAGACAAGATAACAACAACAAGCACTATTACGATTCAGGGAGCATGCAGCAAAGGTCGCTAAGGGGATACAGTTCAAAGGTTGTCGCAGTGCTAGGTTGTTAGGAGGAGGAGCCCGGGGAGGTCTCGTGGTGAGGCGATCCCGACTTTGAAACACACAGTTACAACACTAAGTTAAGGCCACGCAGTGTACTTCGCTCCTCCAGAAAGGCATGAGCAACTACAATGCCCGTGTCAGCTAAGCCAGAAGATCAACCGGGCACCAAAACAAGGTTACAACACTACCTTCAAGCCATCTGACTGCGTTGATCTTCAAGTTGACAGCTACTCGGATGCCGCCCCGTAGCATCTGTACTTTTGTCTTTCTTCTTACGAGGTCTTCATTGGTTCTTTGCCGATGCACTGGCCAAGCTGTGTCAGCATACGAGGAAGCCCACCATTGCCAGCCGGGCATCTTCACAGAAGCGCTGAGTGGGTCGCGCCCGGGATCAAGGAGTACTCTCTGGTACACGAGCTTTTGGTGGCTCAGGCAGGACCGTACGCAGCTCAGGAGCAGTGCTGCTGCATGTGTGAATGCCATGCCCCAAAGAGTCCAGCTTGCTCGTCATGCGGCACTTGAAATGCCAGGGCTGGGTTGTATGGCACTGGGGAAATGCCACCGACTTCAGGAACCATAGTGCAAGTGAAGATCCCAGTACGTTGCGAATCCCAGGAGCCACAAGCTGTGCGCATGCCTGCGGCCGTCGTCTTTCGCAGTGCAGGAACTCAAAAGCCAAGGCTATGCGAGTGCCTTTCGCAGCCACGGGCCTTCCACGTTCGTGTAGCCGTCGTCTGCAGGTATCATGTTGCAAGCGCTTGCAGAGAGCGGTGCGCGTGCCTCTGGCCGTCGTCTGTCGCAGTGCAGGAACTCAGGAGCCACAGTCCATGCGAGCGCCTTGCTCAGTTACAGGTCACGCGCGTGCGTGTAGCCGTCGTCTGCAGGTACCATGTTGTAGGCGCTTGCAGAAAGCAATAATCCAAAGGCCAAATCACTGCAGGCAGCAACTGGTTTGCAGGGAAAAGACATGGCGTCGGCAGGGTCGCGGGTTCGTGGTTTGTTAAGAAGAACGGGGCAATGGGGGGAAGACAGTAAGATGACATGACAAGGGTGACAGTACACAGTGCGAAAAGGCAAGGAGCAGTGCAGTGCGACAAAGCAAGGAAAGGCAGTGCAATGTGAAAAAAGTGGGACAGTGCAGTGCGAGGGGCAAGCAGCAGTGCGGGCAAAGGCAAGAGGCAAAGGTGGCAGGAGGCACCAGCAGGCAGGCAGCACGCCGTGTGTTTCACACGGCTAAACTTGCAGCCAAGGTGCCGAGCATCTGTATATATATATATATATATACGAATATATAGATATATATATACACACCTAGATAGCTAGCTAGCTACTTAGATCGATAGCTCTAGATAGGAGTAAGTGTATGTATATGGTATGCAGGTTGCACAGGGAAGTTTGTGCATACATATGACTTCGGGTACGGATTCGTATGGGCCTCTGTGTGTGCGTGTGTGCGTATACGTATATCATGAAGTATGTATATGTATAAGTACATGTGAACGTTTTTGTCTAGAGTGTAAGGATAAGTATAGTCAAATAGGTGTAGTCATGGGTGATTCCACACCCTGAACGGGGCGAAAGGCATGCTCCAAGCATAGCTGTAGATCTAAATGAAAAACAAAAAAATACATATTTATATATATATATATATAAATCCATCTGTTTATCTATTTATCCATATGAATAAATGCTCACGTCCCCCCCCCATGATCCACCCGAACCTGCTTTTTGTAAATGGTGGATCATGGCAGGTCGGCAGCCTCGGATGCGAAAACGTTGCCATGCTCCAAATTCCCCCGAAATCTATACAACTGGAAATGCCAAAACATCGCCAGGCTCGAATTTCCCAAAAATTCCCAAACTCTGAACAATTATGACCCCGCACTCCCCAAAATCTCAGCAGCTATGGCCATTCGCTCCTGATAGATGCCAGGATTTTGGGGATTTTGGTGATATTCGAACCTGGCGATGTTTTGGCAGTTCCAGCTTCACAATATTGGTAAAATTCGAGACTCGAATTGCCCAAGATTCCTGAAACCTGAAATGCAACAGTAGTTGAAGAACAGCTGTACCATGTAACATGAGCCTTCAATTGCTTCAGTTCCCGACTGTGCGCTTGCTTCTTTCATCGAACAAAGTCATAGCTGTTGTTAAGATCACATATGCTCCATGAAAGAAATAGAGGAACAGCAGCACTGTACTTTATAAGATTGAAACCTGCCTGTGCCTGTGGATGCTTTAGAACGTTTTATGCAAATGCACATGTTCGCTGAGCTTTACATCGTGGTTAGATACTGTCGAGTGGTAAGATCTTGTTAACCGTTTAGACTCTTGGCCACTGCTTGAACAAAGACGAAGTATTTCTTGTATGTTATAACAACTCACAAACTAAACAAGCTGATAAGCTCCGATATTCTATATCACTACATATAAGGTGAGTTCCCCAATAGTACCGTCTTGCCTTATTACTTCTAGGGTTGCCTTATTCGAACTGATTACCAGGAAAGAAGGTACCATTCAGGCGACACTGGGGAACCTGGTAAATGAGCTTTCAATTGCTTCGTCCTCTCTTCGTCCTCTCTCATGGAGCAAAATCATAACCGAGTCAAGGTCAGCCTTGTTCAACAGGTAAGTCAAGCGCTTTATGGCTTTCATTAATACATAATGAGAAAAGATGTGTTTCCACCATTTCTCGGAGGCTATGAGGTCTGGAGCTGTTTCATGCTGCATTTCATGCTGCATTCAAAGATGGCAGGAGCTATATCACTTGTGCGAGTAGCGCGGTGCAACGGAGTTCGATTGTATGTTCCGAGCCCGGATCGTCTGGCATCTCTTTTGTAATAAGAAAAACAGCGAATGTGTTGATAGGAACAATGACTGCTTTGCAGATACCTGCTTGTCCTGATTCCAACGAAGTATAAAGCGTAAGAAGCTCGACATACTTCACTTGTGACAGAATGTATTTGGAGTTTGGACCATTTCTTTACCTAAACACACCGATTTAACTTTGTGATAGTGGTAGATTGTAACAGCTCGTTGAGTTCCAGCCACTGAGTTCCAGCGACTGATAAGGGACTAAGGTGGCTTATTGTGTTTCTTTGTGATGAAACAAAATTTCTAATGAAAGAAAACACCACCACCTGAGAAAGAACAACTGAGCTTCCCTTGAATTCTCTAATTTTGAAAATATGACCTTGAAGCATGAAGATACATGGAGGTTCCTTTGCATGTCTTATAAGCAGCCAGGCTTCATTTTGTGTTTTATGGATAGATAGGCAACATCTGTGCTTAGTGTTGTTGCCAGTAAGCCAAACATACCACTGGCATGTTTGTTTTCACTGAAAGACTTGTCCTTACCCCTTAAGGGGTGAAGAGAAGAGAAGCTATGTCAGCTTTGTCTAATCAAACTGTACACCTTAAGTAGTTCGACAAACCCAGAATCCAGAACCAGAATCTGGTTTCGGCTTCGGATTGTTTTCCTATGATATAAAGGAGTAAAAAAGTTAGGTAGACATGTACATGAAGTGCAGAACACACCGAAAAGTACCGATAGATTCGGACTCCAGGACGAATCATCTTGGGACAGAAGACTGCACAGGAGTATTGACAAGAAGGCTGGGGTGGATCATGGGCCAGGATGTGACCAAATATGTGTGTGTGTATATATATATATATATACAGATATGTACATATATATATATATATATATGTGTGTGTGTTGTCATTTGCGCGTGCGTTAACATGCAAATGTACATGTGTATGTATGTGTGTATGTCTGTACGTACGCCGCATGTATGCCGTCTGTGTGTGTGTGTGTGTGTGTCTGTGTGTCTGTGTGTCTGTGTGTCTGTGTGTGTGTGTGTGTGTCTGTGTGTGTGTGTGTCTGTGTGTGTCTGTGTGTGTCTGTGTGTGTGTCTGTGTGTGTGTCTGTCTGTGTGTGTGTCTGTGTGTGTGTCTGTGTCTGTCTGTGTCTGTCTGTGTCTGTGTGTGTGTGTCTGTGTGTGTCTGTGTGTGTCTGTGCGTGTGTCTGTGTGTGTCTGTGTGTGTCTGTGTGTGTCTGTGTGTCTCTGTGTGTCTCTGTGTGTCTCTGTGTGTCGCTGTGTGTCTCTGTGTGTCTCTGTGTGTCTCTGTGTGTCTCTGTGTGTCTCTGTGTGTCTGTGTGTCTGTGCATCTGTGTGTCTGTGTGTCTGTGTGTCTGTGTGTCTGGCTGTGTGCGTGTGTGCGTGTGCATGCTCACAGACGTACATACATACATACACAGCAGACAGACAGACGGACAGACAGACAGATAGACCGACGGACAGACGGATCAGACACAGGCGGGCATGCAGGCAGACAGACAGACAGACAGAGAGGCAGACAGACAAACAGACAGACAAGACAGACAGACAGGCAGGCAGGCAGGCAGACTGACAGACAGACAGAGCTTCTTCGTATGATTCTTTATGTCGCATGGGGCCGAAGAGGTTGGCAGGGCGTGCAGGGTTTAGAGTGGCCTTGCTCAAGAAGATCTTCATGAACTCTTGAAATCCTGGTCCTGAGCTCGGAGACAATGCGAAGGCGGAATCGTCTATCCAAAGATCTCATCAGTGCTTCAAGCTCTGGGCCACAGCAGTCGTCGTAGGTGGCATTTTTCATCGTGCTGTCCGGGCCGAAGCAACCTCAAAGACAAGGGCCAGGGCCCAGGGCGGTCCTAGCATTTTACCGTCAAGCCCTACCTGTCTGAGGGTCACCCTTTTGCAGCCGACTCACATCAGGAACCACATGACACAGGAGAAATTTAAAAACCTTGAATGCTCCTCCCAGTCGTGGGAGGTGGCGGGTCTGGTGTACTTCTTAAGGAAACGCGACGCTGAGATGCGCTGAGTCCCACCGTTCTTCCGTCTCCCCTTGCAAGGCGGCTCAGCACAAGCACCGGCGACCGGAGTGTTGGATCTACCGCCGGCCGCCGCCATGTTTACCACTGCTGTTGTTTTACGTCACTACATGCCTGCTTTGCGAGATGCAGAAAAGCTTGAAAGCAGCAGCTCATCACTCAGATCCCGACGCTCCGGCTGATCGCAGCAATGAGCCTTCACATTCTGATGCCACTTGTACAGCAAACAGATGCTTCGTAACTAACTAACTAGTTGCCCCACCACCCACCGTCTCATGCGAGTCGGAGTAGGAAGGCAGGAGGGTTCAAAGCAAAGCACTTTTCCACATCAGCCTGGCGCGTTTCTGGCCAGCAGTGACGGGGCACTGCTTAGCCCAGTGGAGCGACACGGAGCTCGCGTGGGCAGCAGTTTTCGGAAGTTCAGAATGTTTCCTCGGAACACCCAAAGCCCCAACAGCTCGTTCCGTCTAGTGGTGGACCACAAGGCGACATCTGGGCCTCAAAAATCGTTTCGGTTGCAGCAATATGGGGGCTTTTTTTACAAAACAGAACCCGGCTCTAGGATCCGTGCTATACGGACACTCGCCTTCAACGCACCTAACTAAGGCGTTTGCGACGGTATCTCGGGCCGACATCCCATTGGATGTCTTCGGGGTTTGAGATACTTTTCGTCTCAAGGATTGATTTACGATTTACGATTCGGATGCCCGAGTTGATCCGTTAACATTGAGGACGCTCTCCCAACGAATCAGCTGCAGCCGCTGTGAAAAGCCAGAGGTGCCTGCTCCCTTATTCTATCAGTCGAACATATGGGGGTTTGTTTCGAGATGGTTTGGCTTTGCACATGGCGTAGAAAGGTATCTTCTATGCCGATGGCTGGCATTTCCGACGTCGACCGGCAACTACTTCGCTGACAAAGGCAAAAACAGCTCTCCACTTGCCGAGCAGGGCTTTGGGGTGATAGTCGTGCTTAAAAGACTATGCTTTGCGCAAAGCATAGTCTTACACCCTGAACCCTCCTGTACCTGCTGGCTGCCAGTTCGAATGAGGATCCACCCACTGCACAGCCAATGTCTAACGCCCGGAGGTTGCCTCCTCTTCCGGTCATTGCGGCCTCTGCCAGCATCTTGGCCACGCGCTGCGGGAAGCGCAGCGCATGCTCCGGAGCGCATGGGTGGCCAAGGATCGGGTCAACGGAGCCAAGTCCCGTGGAGCCCGAGGTACTGATCCACCAGCCGTTGGAGAAGTCTTCGTAGGTATAATGGACCTTGAAGCCATCCAGAGGATTGAAATGGTCCTCTGTCCACTCCCATGCATTACCCATACAGTATGGGCGTCGTGGTGCCCAGGGGGATGCCGGGAGTGCATCGACAGGAGACTGTGAAGCATAGGCCAGGTTGGCGTTTGCCGCCTCCAAGCTGCCAGACGCGTACTCCGCGCCACCTGCGTGCATCGCCCCATCCTCAGGGCTGCCAGCCAGCCCGTCACTTCATGTTCCGGTATTTGCGCCAGTCCGTCCTCTGACCAGTACTTCTCAGTACAGTAGCCACCGAATGTCACAAAGTGCCAGAACTCACCATTCGTGATCATGTGCTTGCTGGCCTTCAAGCTGCACGCTGCGATGGCGATACTCGTTCTCGTGGCTTTACGCTCTCGCAACTCGGACAGGCGTCCCGTGGCTTTCCCAGCTTAACTGTCTCGCCGGTCACACTCAGCATCTCTTTCTGTGTGGAAAGTCCTGACCCACCTCCGGCCGAAGGCTTCGGCGAGCCGATTGGAAGCTCGACGGGTGCAGCCCAGGCCAGGATGCTGGGACTTGCATCAGGTGACTGGGCGTCTCCCGGAAAAGTACAGAGCTGGTTTCGACGTGGATGGCTTCGTGCTCCACGCCCATGAAGATGCACCACAAGGGGTGATCCCAGGTGATCTTTACCGGTGTAGTGCCGTTGTCATCCTCGACATCGGGATGAGTCGCAATGAACTCACTCACGATACTCTCACGATTTTGTAGACCTTCTTCCGGTACTCTTGGACCTCGATCTTTCATGTACAGGCAGGGAGTGTCCGTAGTAAAAGATTTGGGGATGCCGCAAGCCATGCACCGGAGGACGATAAAAGGGCTCCTCGCCAGAAAAGCCAGCGAAAAGCACCTCGACCATTGTCCAAGAGTTCTCGAAGTACTCCTGCACTTGCTTCCGGGTAACCTTGTTCAGATTGGGCATGGGCAATGCCCGAATAGCCCCATCCGGCGACACTCCGAGGCATAGCCCTGGCACAGGCGGCTGGCCGGTGTACCAGGAGAGGTCGCGAGGACCGGGCAGCCACGCAGGTTGACCATCCACTCTTCCCAGTAGCTCCAGTCTGGCCTGGGTCCTCGAAGACCCGGGGTGGCTGCAACGTCGGAATGGCCTGGTGCGTTGTGGCCAACGAGGCTTTGGGTCTTGAAGCCACAATCAGGCCACGGACTACTTTCGCGGCGCTGCGGCAGCTAAGCCTCTGCAAAGTCCGCTCCCCCAATCGAAACATGATTCGCACTTTATGTCAGGGCTGTTTCCAAGTTCACCTCCACTTCCCTACCAAGTTTGGGCCAAAAACTGTGTGACGCAATGGCACTGAGGGGCACAGGAACTCGGTGCGTCCCTTAATGCCAGATTCTCGTGTTTATTAGCAGGGGCACCCTTGGCACAGGAACGAGATGCTTCAAAGTTGAGGCTGAAACCATCTGCTCCACATTGTCGAAGCAAGTTCCCTGCCAGGCGAGCTGCGCCGGTCAGCCAGGGAGTCGGGGAGGGAGGGACTCGCCATCGCTCGGCCTGCAGGCTCCAAGCCGGCGTGGCGGACGCCAAGAGCGTAAAAAGCAGCGCCCCGCCGACCGCCGGCCCGACCTGCTGCTTTCATCATGCGCGGGATCTGAGGAATCCCCATGTGGTCAAGCCTGCACTCGTGCCATCGCGCCGGCGACGGGACCTGAGTACCAGTAATGCAGCCAGTGGTTTGGCAGGCTCCACTGAGCTCCTGATATTCAACACAACACACACACACACACAGCGCGCAGCAGACGGCCGCAGAATATACCGCCACAGTCAGCTCTGGGGCCCAAAGCATTTGCTCGAGACGCGCTTCGACTGCCCCAGGCAGACTGGTGGCAGCTGGGCGCGGAAACTAGGTGTAGGTCAGGACGCAAAAAAGGCAGGACATACTAACCTGGAGCTGGATGTGGAGCACTGCAGCATGCTGGTACGGGTCCACTCTGAATCTGAAGCAAGTGGTACAGGACATCAAAGCATCCTTCCTTGTTGTCATTCCAGAAAGCCTGATGCTTTGGGCCGAAGCGTCTCTGAAACTGTAACTGCAGCTGTCGTGTAAACGCTCGTGAGCAGCTGCTCGATTCTCAGCACCCTGTAAGCCCTGCGCCCCTATGACCTTTCTCAAGTCTGCGCCGAACCACGGCATCCAGGAAGATACGTCTCGGACTTCCAACACGTCCGCAAGCTTTCCGTGCCATTGGAGCGCAGCATTCCGGAGGCCACAAGCCCCACGGAGCTATTTCGGCACTCACTCTCGGACAACACAGGCCAAATTTGCAAAGGTTAAGACTGCAGATTCAGCGCCTCGACTACAGTACATACATACTTGAGCTTTCTCAAGCATTCGAGTGCCCCCTTCCCGCCATTTCGCAGGCAGGAGCTGTGAGAACCGCTCTCTGAAATCCTAGGACGTTTCAGCAACACTCTCTGCCACGTTGACATGAACCTCCACGTCGATATCACCGTAGACGACGAATCCGCGAGACTTGAAACTGCCTCCCAGTGTCTGCAGCATCGTGTCCCAGCTGAAAACACTTAACATAAAATTCCTGCTATGGCAAACATCGGCAAAACCTCAAGAGTGCTGCAGGGGCTACTTGTAGCGGCTAGTTGAGGCATCTGTCTACACAACTTGTAATCCCCATTCATCAAAGATGTGAGAAGATTTCATGATGACGACAGGGGAACCCAAAGAGCAGGAGTGACTGGGTCGCCGGAAAAATGGTAGCCAAAACCATTGAATGGGTAGCCAGAAGGGCTGAATCGGAAACAAGCAATGATTCGGACGCCAGCCCTCATTCGGAAATTTCTTCCCCGCCCCGCTCCCTCCACCCCCTCACCCCCCACCTCAGCAACCCCACCGTCCCCTACCCTCCACCCCATTCCCCACCCTGGTTTCCATGTGCAGTTTCTGATGCATGCCCAGCTTCTGATTCTGTTACTGATCTCAAGTTGGACTATGCACTCTGCGCTAGACCCAATTTCAGTCGCCTCCCATATCCAACCAGGCGTGCAGCTCAGGCGAGTAGCGCCCATCCGTCAGCCGGTTCTCCCAGCCGCGTTCCCAAACTTCGCCTGCAGTCTCAACGCTCGCACTCAGGCTTCGCAGTCTGTAAGCAGAAGACTCTTTCTTGCCCAGTTCTGGTGCTTCTGGCGACCGACCCATGACAGAACTATACTGACAGCGCTTTCTGGAATTCACGATCGCCACAAGCAGTCACTGGGTGACACAAAGGAGGGTGCCAGGAAGAACTGGTAGAATCGAAACGTCACGAGACCAATCGAACAGAATCAAGCTACAGTATAATGCATAGAAGCCTTCAGAGAACCCTCACATGAGGATACGCAGCCCCAGGTGCCCAACTCCGGACAGGGCCTTGATGTCCAGTAAATTTCAGATTGTTTTGGCCGTCTGTGCCAAGGCTCACCTGCAAACGCAAACAAACCTCATCCACTGCAGTGCCCAGCCTGGGGCAGACTGAGCCTCGGCGTACAGCCGTCTGTGCCTTTTCCAGTGTCGACATTGAGCCGCGAAGATCGAACAGTATTGACACCGCAACACCACAACTTTCATGCTGTCGATGTTGGAACGCAGTGCCTAACACTGACAGCTGTGACATAGCTGTCACAGATCAACTTTCAAAGTGAAGCGATTTGTGCAAACTCTTGCGCTGCTTGCACTCAGTGTCGCAAGAGGTGAAATCAAGCGTTCCCGGCGAGTTCAAGCGGGAGACTAGGTGGTGACAATCGCCGGTGGGGTCGCATTTTGGGGCCCTGCGCCCAGCGCTGCCAGATTAGGCGGCCGCCAGTCATTGGGGACCATGACCGGTACGTGCTCGATACGCTCCGTCTCCTGGACCTGTGTCACGGGTACTTCCTTATACCTGTCCACGAAATGCTCCTGGATGTAAGTTTGCGGCACCGTCTGGTCAACCTCAGGCTGCATCACGTCGGCTGCTTCATAAGATTCGAGAAGCTAGCCGGAACTAGCTACGGCTTATGCTGCCTACGACGACGATAGGGGCTGCATTCCCGACATGCAGTGTAAATACTACATTATGCTACATCTTTGTGCGCAACACCTGCTTGATCTTGTACTCGATCTCGGGCACTTCGATGATTTTATCCACTGGCACCTCACGGTACTCGACGAAGTCATCGTACTCTACACGCTCCACCCATTCCACTTTGGGGACTTCGATGAGCCTCTCCTGGATCTGCTTCCTTCCCGGCACGTGGACAACTCGTTCCTCAACGACCACTTGCGGCACCTCCACAATCTCCTCGCGGATCTCGATCAAGCCCTGGGCTTCTAACATGTGGAGATGGTCGTTGTACTCTTTGGAGCCTGGCTCCACTCCTGGCGGAAGCCCGGGAAGGTCGCTGTCACCACCGCCCAGGTTCTGCATGGCCTCCTCCAAACTGCCGGGGCCACCCACCAGCTGCATGGGATCATATCCCAGAGCATCACGAAAGCCGCCCCCGCCGTAGCCCCCGAAATCAATAGCGAGCCCTCCTGGACCGATACCACTCATGCCTGGTCCGTAAACGCCTCCATCTTGCAGGCCGTACGGATCCATCCCTCCTCCTGGCCCTCCAAAGCCTCCCGGACCTCCGCAGCCTCCAGGCCCGCCACAGCCACCAAGCCCGCCAGGCCCGCCGCAGCCGCCAGGGCCAACACCAGGCCCGCCACAACCGCCGCAGCCACACGGACCCATTCCAGGCACAAAGACTGTCGGACCCGGAGCAAAGGAGCCAAGGCCAGAGAAGTTTCCACCTGCGCCACCGCCACCTGGGCCACCCTCGCCATAGGCCCCGCCTCCGCACGAACCACTTTTGCCGCCAAATCCACCAGCTCCAAACCCACCACATGCACCGAGACCGCCACCTGGACTGCCTCCAGCGCCTGGACCATATCCATCGGCACCACATCCGCCGGGGAAACCACCGTAACTTCCAGGACCACATCCACCTGCAGGACCCTGTCGTCCATTTGGACCGAAGCCACCGGGACCTCCCGCATCACCAGCGCCATAAGAACCTGGCCCATAGGAGCCTGGTCCATAAGAACCTGGCCCATAAGAGCCCGGACCATAAGAACCTGGACCACCGCCTGGTCCCCCGCGTCCACTGTAGCGGTACTCCACTTTTCCTGGGACCTCAATGATACGCTCAATGATCTCTGGCTTTGGCACACGTTTGATGGTCTCTTTGGTTATGACCTGGGGGATCTCAACAACTTTCTCCACAGTGATGACCTGCCTTTTGCCCGTGACCACCTTTGACACTTTCTGCTCCTGCTTGTCCACAACCTTCGTGCTAAGGACTCGCGGGTCCTGGATCTGCACGTCTGATGCATCCTGGTAAAGGTTTTGGAGCTCTTGGGGTGACATTATGCCGGACTTGTCAAAGGGTTGCGACACTTCTTCTGTGACCAATCCGGTTGGTGGAGCCTTGCCTGGCACTGGAGAGGCCCCAGGTGCCTGAAATCCACTCATGGCCACGGGTGAGGGGATGGACTGCATCGAACCGCCAAGCGGAAGGAAGTCTGGACTCATTCGGCTGCCTCTCTGGGCGGCTGCGCTGTGCTCTTGCTGCTGCGGCATATCAAGACCGAGAAAGTCAGATGCCGCGTCGGTTCGAAAAGGGTTGCCTGCAAAGGGGTCTTGCACGTCCGCTCGCTGCATCTCACGTGCAACATCCAGGGTACTGTATTCTCCGCGAAGTCTGGCATAAGGATCCATCGCTATCTGATCCAAAAGGAGCCTGCCAAATTTGTAACGGCCGGTCTCCTAACATTCAAGATCAAAGTTCTAGCCAAGGTGGCTGCACATCGCATTGGTTGTTGTGCAGCAAACACCACGAGCACTTGCTTGCACGGGAATCGCACAGACATGCACTCCTCCGAAGCCTCTTCTGATCTCTTCTGTCTGCGTGCAACATACGCGGGCCTCTAAAGTGTGGAAGGAGTTTTCACTGCCGGTCCAGTCCTGAGGAGTGAAACCTCGGATGTGCAGCACATTCGTGGCTCTGTTTTCCTACAGCTCGAGGCACAGTCATCTTGACAACCTGCAAACTACGTTTTCGCAACTCCGACTGCCCCCGAAGAGGAAGTCATGCATCAAAGAAGCCGTAAACATGCCATCCGAAAGAGAAACGACCCTGAAGTCCAAGAATTCTGAGTCGAGCAGCCGATGTCTTGGTTGCCGAAGCCACCTACACCTTCGATCCGCAGCTGTCCTCTGCTTCATGCAGCTGTACCCTTGTGAGGAAAATGCACGGATTTGGCCCGAGTCCTCCCGGCATGGCGGGATGAAACCTCAGTAAAAATGCTCTACTCTTCCCTCCTCCCCTCCCTCCCTTTTCCCTCGTCCTCCCCGTCCCTCCTCCGTCCTCCAGTCCTCCCCTCCTCTCCTCTCTCCCCTCCCTCCTCCCTCGCCTCCCTCCCTCCTCCCTCCTCCCACACTCCTTCCTCCTCCCCTCTACAACTACGACGACCACCACCACCACCACGACGACGACTACTACTGCTATTACTGCTGTCACACTGCTACGGCTACTGCTGCTACGACTACTACGACTGCTACAACTGCTACTGCTACTGCTGCTGCTTCTCACTGCTACTGCTACTCCCACTACTTTTTTTGAACCCAAACTCTCTACTCCCACTACTGGTACTACTACCACAACCATCACCAGCACCACCATCACCACTACTACACAACAACTACTAATACTGCTACGCCTACTACTACTCCCACTACTACTACTGCTGGTACCACCAACAACTACACTGCTGCTACGACTGCAACCAACAACTGCTACCGTTGCTGCTAGTGCTCTTGCTGCCACGACGACGACAACTGTTACTGCCATGGCTATTGTGCCTTCGTCTTTTCTCCGAGGCGCTTGATGGCGTTGCTGTTTTTGTCCTTTTGCAAGCCGTACCCGTTGTACAGGAACTTGGGGATGCCTTCTGTGTCCTTGTCGCCTGAGATGACCGACCACACGGAGAACCCAAACTTCTTTCACTACACATCTTGGGCTTGCATGTTCATGCATCCCTACAGGCACCAGTCATCCGATGAGAGCTTGTTGAGAATTTCCATGGAAACTGAGGCACACTGCATGGAGCTGGGTTGCACCACGACAACTCCGAGACCTCAGCGCTGTCTTGATTTGTTCAGGCTCAAGTGGCAGCAGCAATCCTGTTTGGGTAAGTGCCACATGACATCTTGGAAGATACGTCCGTCTTCTCTCACACACAAAGTCGATTGTTTCGAACGCTTGACATGGATGCCTGGAGGCACACCCAAGACCCAGTCCAACAGCGGCAAACAGAAACACGCAGACTATCTCACTGGTCGAGAAGAGAGACAGATGCCCGTCTGCGCTTCGGACTTCCGATTCCAAAACACGAGTTTGAGATATGTTGAAGGAAAGTGCCAGGAAGATGCTCCGGCTGTCAATCCGTCATGTCCACCATCCATAAGTCAACACCATCCAACCAACCACGCTCACCCGCCTGTCGGCACGTCTCCTGCGCAATTCCGAAGCAAACCTTGCAGGAGACCTTAAGGAAACATCAGCACCGGCAAGGCCTCTGACTCCTGTCGTCCACAGATTGGAGTTGAAGAGTTTAGGTGTGCAGCGATGTCCTCTCGCCAGCTTTTCTTTGCCTTTTTCCTTTAGCTGGAAACCATCATGCTCGAAAAGATGGCTTCCGCACGTTTGGTTGTCAAGCAGCCCAAACCCTCAACCCGACACTCAACATCCAAAGCCCAAAACCCTAAGCCTCTTTATTAAGCCCCCAGCACTTCAGATACAAGGTTCATTCGGGTTTTGGGTTTAAAGTTTAGGCTACCCCATGGTTCAGGGGAACTCCAAAAAGCGTGCGTGCATCGCATGTGCAATCCTTGTCCAGTCGGAGGGGGGGTAACTCCTGGAATGCATCTCTCTGCAATTGTCCGAGTTGGAACAAGTCAAGGTTTCTTCGGTCGAACAGTCGAACAAGCACGCAAACTCAGAATCGGTTCCGCAAGTGGCGGGCCGCATCGCAAAGCTGGAAAAGCTGCTGTTTCAACGTGCCATAACAGAAAGCTTTCCTTTTGTTTGCTTGATGACCATGTTCTGGTCACATCATAGTGGCACGGTTTTGTTCTGGCGAGATGGATGCACATGAGCCAGAGCGACGACGTGCTCGTGTGAGGTTTACAAAACAATTCTCCCATGATAGCAAAGTTTTGAGTGTTCTGGTGGCACATCCGACTAGCCTATGAAACAAGCATAAAAAAGCTCTTGATCGGCCTTGATTGTAGGCATCGGAGTTCAGCTTCACAGAGAACACCACTTTGGAGAATCCTTGCAGCTCTTCCAGGTTGAGACTCGGTAGCCTCGGAAGCGTGGCGATCGGAAGACCACAGAGCGTGTCTCATTGCACTGCCAACACCAAAACAAAAAGCAGTCGACAGCGCCCAACCTTTGGTCCTGGCGATTTCTTCCTAGGCTGCATCTCTTGGGTTGAGTTCTGTCCTGCTGCATCTGCCTGGTAGAGCTGTCAGAAGCTTGTACCGCCTGCTTCCGTGTCGGCATGGCAACGGCTATCGTGCGACTGCAGCGACAAGTCCTCTCTCTTGCTTATTCACTATTGGCGGGACTTGTCTCTGCTCCTGCCACCTCGACCACGAACCCTTATTTACGAATCAAATCCGAGGGGGAAGGGAAGGGAACCACTCAACCGACCCACGTCACCCCAGAGACATGGCACGGCAGCTTCGAAGCGAAGCGTTATTGTACCCACTCGGCTGGAGATAAACGGGCCTCCCAAAAAGGAACTGTACTGGCAAGCCCCTGCAAGTGCAAGATTACTACGCCTCGTCCTAGATCCTGACTGGAGTCGAATCCAAGCGGGCCTACTGGTAAAACAACTTTATGCTAGAAGTGCTGCGCCCTCGTCAGATTCGCAGTGGAACGAGCTCGTGACGCAGCTTTACAGACTGCAGTGCTCTGTGGATCCTGGCTGTGTGCTTAATCGTCGCAGAACCACTTTCTCCTCACTGCTCACTTCGTAACCAGCTGTTCATCTGCTGGCACATAGACCACATGAGGAAAGGCTGGTACTTAGCCAGCAGGGTAAGGTTTTCTGGACTTTCTGATACAGTGCCCAAATATGTGCCAAATATACTGTCAGTAGTTGCATACAAGAAGCAGCAGGTGTCCGTTCTCCGCCTTGCACTCCAAGCCCTTTTCGCCCTGTCGAAGATCAGCCACTTCCGGCTTCTGCCCACCCAGGTCCTTGCAGCTGTTTAATGGAAGGAATAATTGCAAAGACCTGCTTCGGCCTCACGCCGAGACGGCACATGGCATGCACAGCATGCACGTCCACGCCGCATCGAAAAAAAATGCCTCATGATCTCCTCCAATACATCGAGAATGGAAGGAATCTTCTTGATGACCTTGATCTTCTGTCCTGCCGAAACTGGTCAGAATACCAACAGAGCCCCTGGCTCAAACGGGGCTAAGCCGGTGACCTTCGCAGGAAGCTGCTGCCGCCTGCACCAGTTCCTTGTAGCCTCGCCAAGAACCTGCAACAAAATCAAGGTCCACCAACCTTTTGCTTCGAGCCATATGCACTAAAGGCTTCATTCCCAACTCCACAGCAAGAGTTTGCCCTGCCCGGTCTCAGCGCCTGCGGCTTCCAGGAGAACTTCTACTTTGGTCTCCCGCCCGATCACGGCGAAGATGGGCTGCGACGGGTCGAGTTCCGCCACCGGGAGGCCATCGTGAAGGGCCTCTACCACCGTCGACATGTACAAAGAGTTTGGAAAGATTTGGTGCCCCCCCTTTCCCCTTCATAGCTGCTGTCTCGCTCCTATACCGGATGGTCTCCAGATTCGATCGGTGCGGGAATAGTAGTACCAGGGTACTTTCGGAAGGAAAATCGCTGGCACCACCTGACCTTGTCAGCCTAAGTTTGCTTCCGTCGCCCCCCTGATTAGAGTGGTAATTCTCGCGGTGGTGGGGTCCTTAGCACAATTCCACCCGAATTCCTTCGCTACGCAGTGCTTAAGCTGACGAGCCATGTCGGCTCGTTTTGCGCGGAGAAAGGGTCACACTGGACAGATGCGTCAAGATGTAACTGCTTCCGAATGTGGCCACCTGCCACTTGCTTTCAACCGCGGATAGCCACTCGCACATACATTCTAACACGCTCAGCAAACTCATAAAATAGCCGTCCTGTGCAACAGGACGGAACAGTGCAAAAATATGCGAAATGTTGCGAAATTATCAAGTCATCAACATTTCACAGCAAATGGCCCGTTTGTGGCATCAGGTACATGTGCTTGCTCAGCATTGGGTTCGGTAGCACTTCGCTCGGCGTGCCTGTGGGCCGTGAAACAACTTCAAGAAGCAGGCGGCCGGGACCTGACAAACTGCCGGGCTTGGACAGAGCTTGCAGCCAGCTACCTTGTTTTCACGCGCAGTTGGGCTTATGCTGGTGAAAATTGGTGGACGTAACTGGGTTTTAGAATCAGGAAGCTAGTAATGTACACCCCCCTTTGAGAATGAGGAAGCTAGTAATTGACGCCCTCCTCCTGCATCACAAATGCAACGTAACATAATGCAAGAAACAGGACACTGATATCGTTGAGGCACTGCAAACGATATGCCTGCCTGAGTGCACAATCAAGTCTACCTATGCCTAGCGCATACTCCTACTCCAAGGACGATGCTTTACATGCAAATTCGCCCTCCTCGCCTCAATGTGCGTATTCTGGAGCTCTTCGCGAAGAGTTTTCACGGTGTCCTCCTTCAGACACTGAACCTCAAAGGTCTTCCCGTTGACCGTCGACACCGAGAAGGTGAGAGCCATGGAGCGGCCGCAGAGGTTAGGAGCTGTGCATTTGCTCGCATCACCACGCGCTGGAGCCTCGTTCTGCGAAAAGGACCTCATGAAGCCGCGGTGGCATCTATGCGCAACACATTAGGATAGGCCTTGGATCGATTTTGTGAGGTTCGCAGTAGGATATACTTGTGGTGGCAGTGGGAGCAGGGGCAGGGCAGGTGAGGCAGGCGGGAGGGGGCAGGGGGCACAGGGCAGGGCGGGCAGGGGCTGAAGACCCGAGCCTCCTTGAAGAGTCCCTGCTGAGGGCACAAAGACAACACGAGTGGCAGTCGCATGTAGCAGCGGCTCTGGCAGCGATGGCGGTGGCGGAAGTGGCTGTAGCAGTGACAGTGTCAGTGACACTAGCAGAATGACATTAGCAGAAGCAGTCGCAGTAGTAGTTGTAGTAGTTGTAGTAGTCGTCGTCGTGGTGGTGGTGGTGGTGGTGGTGGTAGTTTTTTGTCACCCGCATAGCAGCAGAAGTAGTAGTAGTTTTTGTCACCCACCAGAAGTAGTAGTAGTAGTAGTAGCAGCAGCAGGAGTGGTGGTAGTAGTAGTAGTAGCAGCAGTAGCAGTAGCAGTGGTAGTAGTAGCAGTAGTAGTAGTAGTTGTTGTTGTTGTAGTAGTAGTAGTAGTAGTAGTAGTAGTAGTAGCAGCAATTGGCAGCAGCAGCAGCAGCAGCAAGTAGTAGTAGTAGTAGTAGTCGTAGTAGTAGTAGTAGTAGTAGTAGTAGTAGTAGTAGTAGTAGTAGTAGTCTTAGTACTCAGCAGTTAGTAGTTAGTAGTTACGCTCTCGCAACTCGGACACGGCCAAACAAGTCTAGTAGTTAATAACTAATAGCTTTTAGTTAACAGCTAGTAGCAGGTAGTAGTTAGTGGTTAGTGGTTAGTGGTTGCTAATAGTAGTTAGTAGTAGTTACTAGTAGTTGCTGTTGTGGCAGTAGTGGTGGTGGTGGGCGGTGGTAGCAGTTTTAGTAGTAGTAGTAGTAGTAGCAGCGAAAACAAAAAAAACAATCCACCAAGGACAAGCCGATGCTGCACTAGATGGTGGAGCTGCACTGTACTTCCACCCGATGGCACGGAAACGTAGTTCCTCCAAGAACCCACAGTGTTCTCCTTCACACGATACGGGCAGCAGGAAGCAAAATCGCATTTCCCGTCTTTTTGCCTGCACTGCATCACATCTCAAACGCTGCTGCAAAGCTCTCCTGACGAAGATTCTCAATGAGCTTGTGTCTCACACACCCGCCCACTTCATTAACAAGCCGCCCATTCCATAATCGGAGGGCTGCCCGGTTCACTTCGATAGAACCGCTCTGTCCGGTAATTCACAAGTGCAGAGTTGGCCCCCTGTACACATGGGGCTTTAAAATCAAGGTTCGCAACACGCCGGCCAAGCGGGCACCGCAATTCTGAGAAGAAACGTTCAATGTCCAAGCTTTGAGTAAGGATGTGCGTGACTGCACGGGGATTTCCAGGACACTCGGGACGGCATGTCAAGGTGCTCCAGGCTCTGGGCTGAATCTGAACACTGAGCCATCGGCATCGCAGGCCATGACCTTGGCTGCGGACATGTCTGAGAACTGCGATGATTCCGAGCATTCCCACTTTGCTGCTGCAGCTCTTGAAACCTGTGATGATGAAGACCACATCTTGAAGTTCCCTTGCGCGACCCCTCCGACCGCTCGAAGACTAAACGTTACATATATCAGTGCCGAGTCCGACACGACTTCGAGAGTGTGATGGGGAATCAAAGAGCTTCAGATGGCTGCGCTCGAAGGACCTGAGCAGGCAAGGCCGGCTCTCCCCCATCGATCTGCATTCGAGGTTGGACCAGCGAACGTCCGAGAGTCGACTGCAAAGACTGCTACGTAAAGCGACATTGAAATGTACCCAACCTTCAGCAAACCGTGAACCGTGAACCTGTGGCTGCCCTCGTCCACACAAGTCCCCGCCTGTCTTGCTGCGACTCCGAGGTCTGATGCACCACGGCAGATGCCTCGCCAAAAGTCTTCTGATCCGCAGAAGACGGGGCAGGGGTTGAACGACATGTACGACATCCGGTGAGAGCCAAGCTTAGCCGCAGCAGGAGCATCGCCACCTTGGTTTCTCTGCGAGACCGTGTGAGGAAGTGGTCGTGTTTTCGGTCCAAAACCTCCCACAACCGCTCCGTTGGTGTCCGAGTCCACAACGCGCATCAGTGGTGTCAAAGACGGGGCGCTGTGAACCTCCGCACATTTGTGGTCGTAACATGTCGCGACAGCCGCACTCATTCCTCATACCCGCGGCGAAACCCAGAAGCCAAGGCTTAGGATTCGACACGCTGCGCAATGACCACCAGAGCTAGACGGAAGCACGAGGTTGACCTTGCAAAGTAGCAAGATTACATGACTCTGCACAGCGACAACTCACACTGGCCTCCCTGGATTTTCCATGCCATGACGACACAATTCTGACTTAGCGTATACCTGTATTGCCGTTTCCGGCTTATGGAGGAAGATCTCTTGCACTGGTAAAGCGGAAGCCGTTCTGACGGCAACCGCCGTGCAGGTCTGCAGTCACCCGTGCGTTCCTGTTTGTTCAACTAAAGAATATTCGAGGGCGATTCCCGGCCCGAGCCTAACAAGGTCACGTATACTCGCCCATCATATCGATGCCAAGACTTCGAGGCAATAGCTCCCGAAGGCTACTCGATTTGAAATTGCAACGCGGAAGAAGCACAACCAGCGTAGCTGGCCCGTCAGAAATTCCGACCGTTGGGGCCATCGCATCTTGGAGAAGTGCACTGAGCCGCCTGCATCTTACCCTCCTGCGTTCCCCGAAGGATGCTGGTTTGGTACTGGACACACCCGGTGAAGATTCGCTGCAAACACCTCACCCAGGTGCGAGCTGACCTCACCGTCAACAGTGCCCAAGTTTGGTAGGCGCCGAGCTGGTGGCTGAGTTCCGCTGACATGTCCGACCTTGCAACTGGCCACGCACATGTCTGCTCCGAAAACAGCAGAAATCAGGCCCGAGCTCTGCAGCAAAGCGCTGCATCGACTGTCCATTCCAGTACCCCTTCCTGCAAGCAATCAGCTGTGCTTTCCTATATCGTGAGAGACCTGTCGTGTCATGTCTGTCGCAAGGCAGCGTTGACAATGGATCCAAACCCGACAACACCGTAGCCAACTCAAAGCTGCCTGTACGGCTCTCGAGGCGCAGGGCCAGCAAGGGCATAGCCTTCACTTCTGCTGATACCACTGCGAAGATAGAAGTGAATTCCAAGCATCCGGCGCGCAAAGACAATGTCCAGACCTAGAAGCATCCGAAGCAGCACCACCAATTCTCGGGACAGTCGGGGGGCATAGTCGGGCTGCCTCGCTGGCCAGATCGGAGCAACGCCTGAGTCTGAGCTGTTTCGCGACATCAAACTGGACAAGCACATTCAAATATGCAGTGCTATATAGCGCCACATTGTCACATAGGGCCATTGCGGACACCTCCGGCTGCCGCAGAATTTCTGCTCCGGACCTGAAGACTCCAACCGGGCACCGCCAAGAGCAAAAATCTGGTTGATCCGCAGTACATCGCAGAGTATCGCAGACGGGCACTACAGGTACGAGCGCAAAGTTCCAACAATTCCGGCTACGAGAATTCCGGGAAAGCGGACTGTTGCGGCGCCCGAACACAAGCAGAAGTTCTTCAAAACTTGCTCTGAGAAGTGTCAGGACCCGTCTTGTGGTATACCACGCTATGACACCCTAAGAGGCCCTTGCCAGGAGTGTTGCGCAAGCTCCGTGACCGTAGCGTTCGTCCAAGCCTTACTCTAGGGCTGCTGGCAGGACGTCCTGCTCGCTGATGCCGAGAGCTTCGGCCAACGGGACCAGGGCCCACTCACAGAACCTCACACGCTCCAACTCAAAAGCGGACCAAAGAAGCTGCAGTGCTGTGAAGATTGTGAAGTAACTGGGTGAAGCAACTGGCGGCAGCCAACAAAATGAAACTCTGACAATGCTAAGATTGACAAAGCCGGAAGGAGACGGTTCCCTAACCTCGTATTTCTTCTTCCCCTTGCTGACCGTCACTCATATTGACAGCATGCCATATCCGGGAAATGATCCGAACTTCGCCCTGACCGTTGAAAGAAAAGAAGTCCTGATAGCAACAGCATGCCCTGCAAGTCCTGCATCTCGCTACTAAATTTATTCAGCCAACCGCGCAACTTCTTAAGGCACCGTCTGCCCCCGGAAGCGACAGACCACGTCAGCTCGATGTACAATCATCAAACAGCCCGCGTCGCGGCTAGCAGTCTGTCCTCACACCTCAAATTCCTTCATGGTTCGTTTCGAATCCAGCTGGCTCTGGAGCAGTCGGAAACTGAATCTGCCACTACACTTTCCTTTGTTGGGGGTCTTCGGAGCTTCCGGCGTAGTGCAGGGTCGAGTGGCACTGGGACTTGCCGAATTGTGCCTGCTTGTTCAAAAGTCGCCTTTTGATCGATCAGTTTTTCCAGTCAGCCCTGTGTCTTTGATGACGCTGTCCGAACTCGTATTTGGCCGTGAACCCCAGTCAACTTAGAAAGCAGTGTAGTAATGTTCGTAATCACGATTTCTGGCAATTGCAGCAACCCACAGTCACAGCCACTTGCCCAGATACCAGTGCTCAAGCCTGCTCAAGCTCAAGCTTGAGCAGTAAGGCTGCTCGAACGCGCACGAAACTCAGGCTCCGGGCCAGTTCAACGTCTCCGCCGACGTGCAAGGATGCAGCGGCGCATCCTCGTCTACACCTTTGGCAGCGCTGCCAAACCATGATTTTTTGAACCCAGGCTCTGCTCCATCATCAGCTGGGAATCGACAGCTAACATGACTACTGCATGTCAGCAAAGCGTCGCAACCAGTCCACCTCTTTAGTTTCAAAGGCGGAGAAACTGAGAAGTACACTATGCGTCTTCCACAAGTCTCGCTTGACATCGGGAATGTGGCTCAAGATACAGTCAATGTACAAAGGCTGTGCACACACATCTATCCCTCAACTTCCAGCCCGCAAGTCGTGGTGCCGGACAGCTGCAGTACTTTAGCTCAATCACAAACAGATGCCGCTTCGCACGAGGAACGCCAGGCAGCCCAACAATGTATGTACAATGTACGGGGTTTGGGCTACGGCTACTGCGCCATGCACGAGCATGCACCCGCGTGCAGTTTGCGGCGGTGCGATCAGCGCAGCAAGGCCTGCTGCCATGCATTGCTGCGCAGCGCTGGCCAAGGCCCTGGCTGCCAGTCACTTGGCATTATCTTGAATTTGCAACCGACGACTCGACTTCAGTACACTCGCTAATTGCGGGCCTGAACCAGCCATCTTTCGTCATGTGCACCTGCAGATCAGGAGCTTGAACGGGAAACATGCGGCAACCTGCTCCGATAGACGCAAAACATTTCAGGACAGACCGCCCGATTTGACAAAACGCCACTCAGTTCATCAAGGCCGCTGCATTTGCTGGTGAACACTTTGTGAAACGCGACGCCCTTGCTGTGTTTCATCGAGAGTTGAAGCCTTCAATGACCTTGCTCCCGTTAACTTCGAGTCGAATGTTGCCCTCAGACATGTTTCACATCTCGTGTGCATGCCTGCTAGATCGAACTTGAAGAAGGCTCCTCTTTCTGTTTCAGGTGGGTTCCCGCCTCTCTTTGACTCGAAGCCTGCACATACAGAAGGTCGGCCGTTGCGCGTGTCCTGAGGAGACAGCTCCACTGTCCGAACGGCAATCCTACTAAGCTTCAAACGTCAGTAGTTAGGATTTCTCGCAGCGTCTGAGTTCCACGCATTACGGGAGTTGGGCAGAGACTGAGCGGCAGCCTTTACTAGCCGGAGACACATCTGTTGTGCACCTGCCTTTCACGAATCTTCAGCATTTTTCCTCCGTCGTAGTCTCTAGTCTCTAGTCAACGTCTTGGCTCAACGTCACTCATTGTCCCGTGACCTTTATTCTAGCAGACGAGACGAGCTTGATGTCTTGGACCGCTGCTTGCCATGTTCCGTCGCAGCAGCTTCTGCGCTGTCGCCGAAACCAGGCGTAAAGGAGCTCGAATGCAAGAAAGTCTTGCTTCCCTGCCGCTCAGGCAACGCGGCATTCATGCCAAGTACTCCTTTGCCAATTAACCCGCTCAGAACGGCCATGCTGGCCTTCCGAGAAACAGTTCGCAGGGAGGTGAGTGATGACGAGCGCCGCATCTGATGCACAGTGTTCCCTCACCTTTGCCTACCGCAATACGAACTTGAGACTCAGGAGCCCACGAAGAGACCCGGTGGCGTTCGGCCTGCAGAAGTTGCACGTGGCAATTTGAACATAGTTCGATGGCAGCCCCAAGACGACGCTGCTCCACGCACATCTCGAGCCGACACCTCTGGGCTATGCGGATGACCACTCAGGGCTTGACGGTCGAGTCTCTGCGGCTCGACTGGCGTGGAGCTCGGGGTCTTCCTGAGCATTGTCAAGCAAAGCCAGGCAAATCTCAACGACTCGGATTCTTGGATGCGAACGCGGTGTCCGGGACACCGTCACCTCAGCGCAAGGACGCTTCGAGACAAGGCCCTGTAGGGCACCAGGGATGTGGCGAATCGAAAAACGTGGGTTTTGCAGCCAAGTGGCCCGAACTCAAGATGCTGCAATCCCTTAAGAAGCTGCGGAACCTGTGCAAGATCGTGCGAATTTGCTACCGCAACAGCTGATCAGAGCACACACACATCGATACACGAACATATTATACCGATTATCATCCGCAAATCGAATCACAGAGGCTACTGCATACACACTCTTTTTACATCGCCAGTGCCTTCCCAGTCTGTAGAACCCGTTACTACGGGAAATGCTTTGGTAAAACATCCGGATGAATGGGGCTAGCAAAGCCCGGGTCGACTCCGGGTTGCAAGCCCCACCCCGAACCACCATGGTTCGATATCCCAATGCACTGATCCCAAAGCACTTCTACAGAAACTGAAAAACCAGCATGGCCGGCACCAGAGGCAGAGACCACACCTCGGTAGGAAAAAGAGCGTGGTGAAGGCAGAAGCCGCGAGAAGCAGCCCACGGGTCCGACGCACCCAATCGACTGATCGAGTCGGACCAGTTGGACTTACTGGGTACCCACTCCCAGTATACCCAAACTTGAAGAGAGAAGAGGGCCACATGAATGAGGTGTGCCAGCCGCTCGAGGTCGGGAGAATCGGAACGCCCTCGAATGAGTGCCATAAGCGCGGCTACGTTGTCAATATACCATGTGCCACGACGAGAACGAAAGGTAGAAGCCCGAGCTGTAAGGGCGAAGAGGACCATTGAAAGCTCGAGCTGCGCGATTTTAACCTCCCCCGAAAGAAAGGCATCATACGTATGCCGATCGACCTGTGCCACGAAGGCTTCGCGGCCGGGCTCGCTGCCCGGCCAGAGCAACAGGAAACCGCCCGTGCCCTTGCGCGGTTCGTCCTCCGCGGCATCGCTAGCTGCGACGAATCGGGCACAGGGGGAGGGTAGCACCTCCACGGACCGACGCGGTCGCAGTGCCAAGATGGCTCGGATAACCTCGAATGACGAGCGGATAGCTGGGGTCAACTCCCGAGCTGCCTCGTACTGGCGTTCCTTGAGGGCGCCGATGCCCCCTGTGCCAATACGGCCATACACCCCCTGTTCGAGGAAATTGAGCATGCCATACAGCTTCGACGCCAAGCCTGGAGGCAGGGAATTATCCTGCTCAGCCTGCAACAAAAGGCCCTCGACCTTGGCCTGGAGCCTGGACCGGACCCAGAACCTAACGACGTGGTGACGCCCCACGTCGCGGAAGTCCCACTCCAGCCCGAGAAAGTCGCCGACTGTGCTCATCGGCTGTCGCTTTGCCGCCGCGAAGGGGGAGCCCAAAAGTTTGTTGACCTCGGAGAAGGCGAACTGGGCTGAGCCCTTCGCAGAAGCCGGGTCGGTAAGGTGCGCATCATCGAAATACATAGAGACCAAGACAGACGGCCCACCGCCTCGGAGAAACGGCTGAGCCGATTGAAGCTGGTCACTGCCAAAGGGAGCCCAAAGAGAAGACCGGAATATACCTGGTACGCCGGCTGGGCCCAATCCTTGTGGTACCATACCACCACGCAGGCCCTGGACTGGTCCTCGTCCATAGGGCAATGGCGATAGGCGTCCGGCCAGTCTTCGCCGCCGCCTTCCCACTGGTCTTCCTCCAGCAGGCGGCGGGCGACCGCCGGGCTGGCGCATCGCATTGCCAAGGAAACATGCTGGGCCGGGCGGAGGGCTGAGCACAACACCAACTTGTTAGAGTCAGAGCTTAACTCGCTCTGTCCTCCATGGTCCGCGTTGTCGATCACCCTCTGCTTCCCGGAAGCCTGAGAAATCACGCACCTCGGTATCAAACGAATCGGTTTGCCCTTGGTGTGGCGAAGAAGCTCCGACCAGGACAACGGTGCCGAACAAAACCCCGCTTCGAAGTCCTTCGTAGATTGCTCCAGCAAAAAGTCATCGTGTGGGCCTGGCCGAATAGATCCTTGGACAGCTTTGTTGTGGGATTCCACGTTCTCGAAAAGACGATGGAGAGGAATTGTGTCGAAGCCCTGCTGTGGGAAGACTCCGCAGGGGAGAGAGGTACCGACCGCGGGCATGCCGAACAAAAGGTGTGAAGGGAGAGTGGTGTCCGGCCAAGACAACAGAACGACAAAGAGACTGAGCAAGCCCAGGTCCCGCTGGGCCGTGACCTTCCGGACTGCCGGGGTCTGGAGCTTACGCAGGTGGTCCCCCACATGGCTCCAACGGCGCTTCAACTCCCGAAGCGGGCCGACACACTCGCGCCTCAACTCGCGAAGGCGGCCAAGAGACCCGACAGTCATCGCTGCCGCAAAGTGGAGGTCTTGGTCCAAGACCGGAGGGTGTTCTGTAGGCAAGGGGTCGTCCCCCCTAGCCAAAGCCTGCCGGAAGTGCTCATCCGGGGACAGGCCGAAGGGGAGGAGGGGGGGGAGCGCCGCCCTCCCTGAAAGCGCCCCCGCTTGCTGACCCTCCGCTGTGCGCTGCATCAACCTGCAGGCGGGGTCAGAAAGAGAAGGGCCCAACGCGCCATCCCAGCGAAGCCCTTCTTCCCACAGCCACTGGGGGAAAAGAGTGAAAGGAGGACTGTTCACCAGGTCCTCGATGAAAGGAAAGACGAAGCCACGGAAGGCCGAGGAAGGGAACAGGCTGCGGAAAGCCGTGATGACAGACTCCTGCGGGGAATAGGGAATAACGTGGGCGACAGAGGCCGGTATCTGGGTGAAGGCGGCCCACGCGGCACTCCCTGCCGCGGCTGGCCGACCCTGCCAGCTGCCTCCACTCCGGCTCGAGGCCAATTGGTACCACACCAGACCTGCCAGGACGTCCCTTTCACACAAGGAGCCCAAGGGGCAATCGCAGACAAGGGTCGCGCCCTGCAAGTCGGGGAGAGATGTCCAGAAATTGCAAATGATGTGCTCGACAAAGAGATGCATCCACTCGGAAGGGGAGCAGTCGTGTCCTGGAGTGTACGGGGAGCACCATTTGGTAACTGGTAGCCTGTGCGAATGGTGCCCGCGCCCCACGTACACATGCCCTGGCGGCAAGGACCGGTCGTGCAACTCGACCTCGCCCACGGCTCGCCCAAGTGGAACCAGGCGGTCCATTCCCGGATCATGTGGGCGTAAGCCCAGGAACACAGCCATGGGCTCCACTGCCCAGTCTGCACGCGCTAGGGGGTTAACGTCCACCCAATGCTCGCGCCGACCCACCTGCTCCACCAACAACCATCGATGGACCCGGAGCTTCGCTCGGCCACACCTAGCGGCCCACCAGCTCATGGAGACTGCCACGGAAAAGGCGAAGCAGGGCGGAAACCCTCGCGACCCCTCCCGCAAGGTCCCCTGAGGCGGGCGGCGGTGGTGGCACCGAACCGAAGGCCACTGCTGGAGCTCGGCCACGTTGTGTCGAAGGAGTCTAGTATGCTTGTGCACGTCGAGAAAAACGCAGGAGTCATACCAAAGGTCGAGCCAAACTGCTGAAGGACTACTGGCCGAGCCTGTTTCTGGAGGAACCCCCTCCTGAACAACGGCAGCCCCCCTGGAGGCACAGCCTTGCAACAGCAGCTCGAAGGAGTCCGGCGAGAAAGGCGGAGGCGCGGCCAGCCCCGTCCAAATGCAATCGGCCTCTTGGGTCAGGCGATCGGCGGCCAAGACTTTCCAACCGCAGCACCGAAAAGCCCGGCCCAGTGATGTCTTCGCGGTGAAGCATCACCAGGCAAGGGGTCAACTCCCCTGTGAAGGGGGAGTCCGCGACCCCGGGCTCAGCATCCCCCACTCCTGGGCCAGGGCCCCATCACGAACTCCTCGCTTTCGCCTTGGCCTTGCACTTCCCCGCCCCATGGTTGGGCGCACCACAGACGCGCTCGGCCCGGAGAACCACGGCGCAGCGATGGGCCCCATTCGGGCACGGGGGTGCATGCTTGCAGGACCCTTTCTGGTAGTCACCGCAAAGCTTGGTGCCATCTTTCATGACACGGGCTGTGGGCTTACCTCCCACCATGGGGCCCGAGACGAACAAGGAAGACTTGGTTGGCTCAGTGATCACTGGCTGGGGCTTCGGCGCAACTGGCCCTGCCTCCGGCAGCGCTGGCGCCAACCAGTGGGCGTCACGTGCTTCCATAACCTCTTTAATAACTGCTCCGAGTGTCCGGGTCCCCTCCCGGAACCGCGAGACCCACTCCGCTCGCTCCTCGGCGTCCCGATGCTGAAGCCAACCCAGCCGCTGCGCAGGAGCAACTTGCATTGCGGCCTTACGGGCCCGGTAGTAGTATGCCAGCACACAATCCAAAGGCACCTCGACGAACTGGCAAGAGTTGGCGCCCAGCGCTTTCTCTCCCGCCGGGTCAACTCCCGCGATCACCTGCACCCCGTTGAGCGCGTATGCGATCATAAGCGTGTGGAGCTTGTGAAGGTATGTGTCCACATCCCGAGCGACGACCTCGTCGACTTCAGGCTCATCGGTATAGAGGCCGTCAGCCAGCTTGCGCCGCTTTTGTGAGGTGCCTAATTGGAATTGTAGGGATCGCACTCGCCATACGTCATATATACAGAGCATCCTTTTGGAGAGTTCCCGAGAGATGCGGGAGACTGTTGCGTCGGAGGGTTGCACTTCGGCAGGAAAGCGCAACTTGTAGCGAATCCAAAAGGCTTCCTTCAACGTGCGAAGTTCGGAGTCTGCCAAAATCGAGTCGAGGTCGGCCAAGGCAACCTTAGAGCGGTCTTGCTCCGCCTGGGTGTAGTATGTGCATGTTGCCTTCCACGCCCTACGAAGGCGGGCGGTCTGCAACATAGTGGCGTCCCCTAGGCCCAACTTCCCCACCCAGGTACCTATGGCCGCCTCGTTCTCGAATAAGAAGCGAAACTCCTCGAGGTGGCGAATCCCAGTGCCGAGCACTTCTGCGACCACCTTGGCGTCCAAACCGAAATTCATCTGCAGGCTATCCATGCTCGCCTTAATGTCCTGCTCCACTCGAGGGACAAGCGAAACTGACGACATGGGGCCTACGTCGAGGTCGACCCCCCGAAGAGCCTGCACGAGGGTCAAACTCCCAGCCTATCGCCAGCCTCCGCGATCCCCTCGGTCAGCTCCGAGGTTGCGGTACCTTCGAGCA